GAGGCATGGACTTCCAGGAATCCCTTCAAAGAGTCTACTGCAATCTTTTCCAACCAATCCTAGGGCTCCAACTACAACAGGGATTGTTGATGTTCCCATATGCCACATTTTTGAGATTTCTATTTCAAGGTCCTTGTATTTTGACAGCTTTTGGAATATCTTCAAAGATACATTGCAGTCAGCAGGGACTGCCATATCAATAAGAAGGCACTTTTTTGTTTGTGGTCTTTAATAACAATATCTGGCCGATTGGCCTTGATTGTTCTGTCAGTGTGTATTGTGTAATCCCATAGAATTGTAACAGGTCCTATCTCCGTAACCGGGTCTGGGTGGTGTTCATACCAGTTTCTTTCAGTTTCCTTCCCGTAGAAGTTGCATATTTTCCAGTGCAGATATTGGCCCACTCTGTCATGTCGGGTTTTACACTCAGTGGCTGCCAATATCGTGCAACCTGATACAAGATGATCAATCGTTTCTGGATATTTATCACAAAATCTGCATTTGGGGCTGACACAATATTTTAGTATATGTGCTTGATAATTCCTAGTTAACAAGCATTGGTCCTGTGCATTATTATTATTATTATTATTATTATTATTATTGACTAAAAGAGCGGCATATCAATTGATGCAGTAGTACAAAAACTAGAGTCCCAATAGACACATCATAGCAACTAATCTAATCAAAGTATACCAGTGCGATATGGAAACAGATTTTAACAAAACCAGTGCCTAAACACGTAGGTGGGGCCCAATTAGAAAGAGATTCGAGTCGGGTAATCCAGTCTGCTCAGACAGTCTTCGTTTAAGGGTGTTGCCAAATATTTAGTTTTTACTCCCAAGTAATTTTGGCTGCTTCTTCCTTCTAACTTAAAAGAAAACGCGACCACCTCGGCAACGGTCAAAAGGCTTCTTTATTGCACCCCGCTAATGGAGAGATGGTATTGCACAGTGCACATCTGTTGCGATGGCACTTGCTCAACTGGTTACGTTCAGACAACTGAGAAGCAAAACTCTGGTATTAAATGTGATATTTATTGTAGCCGATCTTAATTAATCAAAATAAAAATGTGAATGTTAACACTCCCAATCAATTAAGATAACAAGCCATAATAGCCATGTCTGGTGTAGCATCAAGCGTGGAATTGGAATGAAAGTAGCGATGCTATATACCATGAAACCTTCATAAAAACTCAGAATATAGAATTTCTAAATACTGTGTACTTCAATTAGGAAGGTGTATGGATCAGTTATAACAAATTTAGCAGAGGTTTGGTTTAGTTTCTTTTACGGCATATCAACCTCAATGGGTTATTTAATGCCGACAAAATTTTTATTGCTGGTATTACGTTTTTCTTCAAAAATCTATTTCTGGGGATATTTTTCCTTAAAGAAATCTATAGCTGGTAATATTTTTTTCAAATAATGTATAGCTGTTTTATTGCTGGTATTTTTTTTAAAGTATTGCTGGTAATAATTTTTCCTTCAAAAATTATTGCTGGTAATATTTTTTTTTATTACAAAGTATTTCTGTTATTAAAACCTATTTTTACACAAGTTTGGGTGTTAACTATTTGCCCATAGCTGTGACCCTAACAGGTGCTACCACCCGGGTCAGGATGGACCTGGAAACACCAGAAATTAAGAAGTAGTTCCATGCTCCTCAAAGCCTCCTGATCAGAGGCCTTGCTGTTGGATGTAGTTTATCGTCTTACCCAGGACGCGGATGTAGTTTATCGTCATACCCGGGACGGAATTCAGCAGAGGAGATACGAAAATTGAACTAGAGGTAGCTTTGCCCAGCACCTCCAATTGCTACAAAACCAAAACATTAACCTGAAAACTCGAGTCATTTAGTTAAATACCCGACTAAAATCGATACTTTCATATGGATGTCATGATTAACGCCAAACCCGTTCAGAAATATGTAAACTTTCTAAGATTAATGGTTAATATTGACTTTAGACGAGTGAAGTCTGTAGATCTTGGGGAAGAGCACCCTTTATCGAACCTTGTAGAATCGCAAAGATATACTAGGTAACAGAAAGGACATCACTTGAGGACTTTCAACAGTAGCAACCACTAAAATGGATTGCACATATAACTCGAAGAGAAAATAATGACATAATAAAGATGTCGGAATTCCACACGACAACAAATAAAAGATGGGGTTATAAAATCCTTATCAATACTGTAAAGAGCTATAACATCTACAGGACTTGAGAAATCTATTTCCTTGATAAATCGTTTTAAGAGAAATATATTATTAATTGCAGCCAACAGTAGTACTGGCTGCTCGGTCAATGAATACAAAATATTTCCTTATAAGGAAACGGCTAATATTAGCATTATCATCATCATTATTATTTTATTGATATTATTAGTAATAGTAGTGGTATCTGTTTCGATTTGATCTTTGATATAACCGTTTCCCAAATCTGTAACCTACTGTAAATCGACGTGTCCTTTGGGGGTTTATCGCGCATATTCTACCGAAAGATATTTTTTTAAGAATGTGAGCAATAGATATTAAGAATCTTTTATATTTCAGATAGATGGATTTCCTGGAATTTTCGAAACGTGTGAAGTGTTCCAGTCGATTTCTTCGTCATTCCAAAAGCCTTTGTTATTCCTGGAAACAGGTTTATTTTAAAATGGCACATTCATAAAACTTCTACTTCGAGATCCTTATACTTTCAGAGTTTATCAAATTCTTTTGCTGAAATGTTTTTAGACGCTAGGGTCATATCCGTTGAATAGCATTTATGCTCTTTGATGTCGTTTACGATCATATCTCGTCTAATAGCTTTTATAGGGTGTTGCATATTTCGAATGCGATCCCCCAAGCACAACAACAAAGTCATCTTCTGGAACTGACGATGGTTTTTGATCGTATCATTTTTATGGAGTAATTTATAAAGTTTGCATATGTCTCAATGAAGCTCTTACACACGCTTATCATAACTATATTTAAAGTCATCTATTATTATTATTATTATTATTATTATTAACAAAATAGTGTTATTATCAAATGAAGTGCTTATGGCTTTATCTAAATGATTACATTGGTTCTTGTCTGAAATGCGAAGTTAAGCAGCGATTATCTTTGCCAATATTTATTGAAGAAAAAAATATTACCACCAAACATCTTTTGAAAAAAAAATATTACCAACAACACATTTAAAAAAAAAAATATCACCAGCAATAAAAATCTTGTCGGCATTAAATAACCCATTTAGGTTGATATGCCGTAAAACAAACCAAACCAAATCTTACTTAGATGGGTAACAATTTGGGATACTTGGTGTCCTAAGCTCAAATCGGGTTGTTGGAACTCTCCAGCTTGGGAGAATAGTTCATCTGAAAGGAAAAAAACATGTACTATATTGCGTCCATAATGATAGAATCGTTTTACGCAATAAATTCAAAGGATTACGTTTAGATTATCCCAACTGGTTCTACCAAATTCTTCTCAAGTACTAAAACTTGTGGCAACGCCGGTTGCTATGAAGTAAAAAGAATTCTTTTTTCACTGTGAATTTGTAGCATTCTGTAGTCATAAATAATGTATTAACACGAAAACTAGGAATGACAAAGAATTTTGCTGGCACACATCACACGTTTCGAAAATCCCGGGAAATCCATGTTTGTCTTAATCAGTCACAAGAACCAATGCCATTGTATTGTGTTCGATTTTTATTTGATAGGTGACCAATTGACATACAAGGTGGCATAAGCTTATATCGCGTTGCTAGAACTCGTCTGCTTGGGAGAGTAGAACTTCTGCTGTCTTACAGCTATCCCCAATCATGGGATAGTCTTCTGGAATAAATCCAGGGAATAACACCCAGAGCATCCAATCTCGTTCGGCCAAACACCGACGCTGTTTTGGGGTAACTTTGTTAGCGTGGATTAGGGAGACGTGCTACATAGGCAACAGTCGATCTCTTAAACCTGCATCCTGGATAGAAGAGTTCAGCTTCAATACATAGTGCTGGCGAAACATGAAAGGAGCATTTGCAGATATAAGCATGCTCTCATTTTGTAAAAACAGACGCGACCCTACCACCAATCAGTTACTAGGACCAGTGCCACTACACTGTGTTCTATCTTTATTTGACGCTACACGCTCTTACTTAAGGGCTAGAGTAAGTAGAGTAAATAGCTAATCTGCATACCCACTTAAATTGATATGAAAACGCTTTTGTAAAATACATTAGCCTGCGGCTTATGACGTAAACACGACTAAGATTAGATTTTATTGATTGCAATACGTAATATATCGATTAGGATTGAGTTTATGCAATTCTTCCTATCGATTTTAGTGATTTATTTTCTATTCTTCGCTCGAAACGTAAAATATTTTTGTTTCAAAAAACAAGAAAAAATAAAAACACACAACTATACGTACGCTGTATTTAATTTGTTACTCTTCCGTGTTTCATTCAGCACCTGGTATTACGATTAATTGATTGTTTTTTTACAGTTTATCAACCCTGTACATGATATTTAAAGCCAGAAAAATACTTTTAGAGTGTGAACTCCTTTCTGAGATTATGATGGCTTTATTGATACAGATCTTACTAATGAATTCATCGCTGGTGAAAGAAAAGGGTTAATGCATTTCCCAAATGTATTTCCACGTAAATGAATCTAGTCAGTCAGTTATGTGTCATGCGGGATACACGCTTAGGCGATCATGTATCTTTCGATACTGACTTTTTACCCGCAGTAGGTTGCCATTTCTTTCTGCAGTAGACCAGTTACCGTCCATGGCTATAGAACTCGGTCTGTTATTTACGCATAGCTAGGGGAGAAGAGGATTCGTACCTTTCCTACATAAGTGAATGTAATGGATTCAACTGGAATTCGAACTCGGCTCTCCGATTCCTCAATCCAAGCCGTTATCCATTACTCCACCGTGCCTCCTCCTGTGAATATACCTAACCCAATTAACAATTCCATGCTTTCTTTATGCATTACACCACGTGCACATCCAAGCTTACAGTACCTGTTATTCCTAAGTAGTCACCCATGTAAGTACTGACCAGGCTCGATTTTGCTTAACTTCGGTGATCGTGAGAGAATCGGTGTTTCAATGTGAGGTGGCCGTAACTTTTTAGGGAGCGGAAAGAGGGCAATAAGCGTACAGAATTCAGGAAACCAACGGGAAAACACTGCACCTCCCAAGACGTTAAAGCAAATCACAAGTAACACATGAAAAAATAGGGATATGGCTCTGATTACCTATGTTTTCATGATACATGGCATTGAAAATATCATAGATTGCATTTTAAATGATTTTGCTAAAGAAGTCAAATATTTGTTGTTGTTGTTGTTGTTGTTGTTTAGCTGTTTCTAATTCTGGTAAGTTGTTTAGTTGTTTCTAATTAGGGCAAATGCTACTGGTATAAAAGGGTCATTGTATAACTTCCATAATACTAAGATGCGCCATTATTATTTTAAGAGTTTCCTAGACTATTAAACAAAACAATTAAGCTCAATTTCAACATCAAAAATGACATCAATTGTTCGAACAACGTCTTGGAAGCTTATTTTATTATCAATGTTTCTGAGGAAACACGTTGAAAGATATGCACATCAATATAGAGGACAAGTCATTCAAAATTACACATCATTGCTTTATAAATTACATATAAAAAGTTGGAAGACAAAGAAAAACGCTCCATCAAACGGTCCTTTGATGTTATAGTTACAGGACGTGTTTATTGGAGACAGACAGGATTATACTTTTTTTTATTTATCTTCTTTATTTATTACAAGTATTGAATATGATTAGGATTTCATCTAAGTGAGGTCGGTAATGGACAGCCTCTAATTAACAGTTTTCTGTCTGCTTGTTGATGATTCTCTGCGCTTGTTGAAACCATCCCCCCCCCACAAATAATCCACAAACTTTGAAATCGTTGACCTTCTTTTAATATGATTCCTTTTTTGCTTGGTTTATTTTTTTTTAAATTTCCGATCACACTTTTTAATCATGAGGTTCTTAGAAGCAGTCTACGTTTCTTTTTTTTCTTTTACATTCTTTTCATTTTAATAAAAAGCGTTCACCCTTATTATAAAGGGTTTTTCATTAAGACGGATTATATATAAGGGTGTTTCATTAAGACGGATCAAAGTCAGCAGTAAATAAATCAGTGTTATTGGAGAACATTTATTTATTTCTCTATTGGATCATTTTATTTAAGTCATGGCAATAATGTGGGAAATATATAATATCGCCCAAATGTCTGCCAAATCGGAAAGAAAAAGAAAAAAAATCATTAGACGCTTAAACTTAATTCACATTTAAAATCAGTCCAAGTAATTGAAGAACCCTTTATTAAAAACGTCAGTTTTCCGCGTTTATTTGTTTACATGTAAAAATACCTAGATTCTATTGGCAGAAAGGTGTCATAATTTTACAGTTTAAATGGCGAGGTGTAAGTTCTATACCAACAGTTTCTTTTCTCGCACTACTCGCTTGTGGAACTTTCTTGCAGCTTCTCCAAGTTTGATCTTAAAGAATTTAAAACGTAATGCCAATTGTTGTCTTCTGATTTCTTAATTTCTGTTCTTGTATTTTTCTCGCTCTGTAATAATGTATTTCTTTATCTAATATTCTTTCAAACTCAGAACAACCCCACTTCGCTACTTCCCACACTAACAGTTTATTTTATCGCACTTGCCGCCTGTGAAACTATAGCGAATAAAACGGCGACTTACCTCGTCAAACCAAGCGACAGCGCGTCGCGTGTATCCTACTGCGGAAAATGTTTCGAAAAAGAAAATAACTTAATAAAAAAGGGGGGGCACTTATTCCGCATGACATGCTGAGGACGGAATATTTAAATTAAAAAAAAAAAAAAAACAAGTTCGCCGCAGGAGTCGCTATAACATTATTTTGATATGCAAAAATTGAGCGCCCTCTCCCAGTTATCGACGAATGGAAAAAAATGTTCGGCAGTTGGTGTTCTCGAATCGGGGGCAAAAATTCGGGTATTTTGGCTACCGCGCTTGTCGAAGAATAAGTTATTTTTCTGACTGGTTACGTGCATTGTGAGATAGTACCTGCGAATCGAGTTTTCGGCATTTCTTTCTGCCCGCGATGTTCGAGTCTGAACTTACAGTGATTTATTCCCTGCGTTGTGAAAGTAATCTGCGACAAATATTTCCTTTACAATCCCAGATCGCTTACAGAAACTCCCTTCCGTTTACTTGCTTCCATGATAACTACAATCTTCAAAAATTTAAATGCAAAGTCAATCGCTATCTTCTCTCTGCTTGAAACCCGTTCATCTATTGTCCTTTCTTCTATCCTCCCTATTCTCAGTCTTTTCTCACTCTTTCACTCCCTGTAACCCCACCCCTGCGTACTAGTGGCATTCCTGCCTTGCTTAGGGTGAGATGATTAAAAAAAATCTTAGAATTGTTTTAACAGACAACGGAAAATATTACACAGGAAACGGAAGATGCTCTCCAAAAACTAAAGAAATTATTAACACAGGGGAAAATTTCGTTAGAAACAAAGACGAAAGTGCTGAACTGCTATTAATCTCCCTATTTGGAAAAGAAAGCGGGAAAATTTCTTCAAAGATGAAAAGAAAACTTCAGGCAACAAAGAAGTGGTTGTAGAGAAACATGCTGGGAACACCATCGACGGAATATGTCAGCAACGATGAAGTTTGAAGGAAAATGGTATCGAAAAAGACACATAATGAAGAAAGAAGGTTTTGATAGTCACAGCACACATTGAAGGCAAGAGCGGCTGACGGAAATAACTAATGGCCGACTTAACACGTTTGTGCAAATGGATGCCCGAAAAGGGATTAAAATATAGGGTAAGAGAACAAAGATCGCTTATAGCTACAAACAATAGGAAGTTGTGGAGAGACATGAACGCCTATATTTCAGAAAGGGCACGACACATAAAAGAAGAATTATACCGTCATTTACCCCTCCAGGGAACAACCACAGTCATATTATTGCCGCTACAAATACTTCATGACTGGGTGTTATGACTGTTCCTTGTATGATGCGTCTCGCATTCTCCTTGCAACTTTTTTTCTTTTATATCGTTAATTAGTTCTGACCTTTCCGCTCACAGGAAACTGTCGCTTCGTCACGTGATCCGTGACCGGGCAACATGGCAGCCACATGGAAAGGTGGTTGAAAATAACTATATCACTGAAGAAAACAGAAATAGCTGAAAGGGAAAGAGAAACAAATAAAAAAAAATTTATGTAGAAATGTCTCTCTTTTTTTTTTCTATCTTTCTTTCTTTTTTTTTTTTCTTTTTCTACTGATCTTACTATATTTCTTCTTTCATTTTCACAATCTCTAATTCGGCCATTAACGCCAGCTCACAAAAGGTGACGCCCATTTGTAGCCTTTCGGTTACTGCTTTGCACACTTTAAAGTAATTGGACAGCGTCTGAGTCATCGTACGCAGCGTGAATGGGCAGCGAATTTTTCTTTCTTTCCAACACTTCCACCTCCGCTCATTTTCTCTGTTGCTACTTTTATTTATTTATTTATTTATTTATTTTTTCATTTTTATTTGTCTTGTTGTTATCATTCACTTAGAAATTCTTTTATCCAGGCTCTCATTCTATCGACATTCTCCACACAAACTCAGTGGGCTATGAACGTCCATCTTTCTGTTTGTTCATATCTATGTTACTCTATTCCAGCTTGACAATCTGCCGCAGCCTGTCGGTATATCTTTATTCGACTCCGTCTACATTCTCTCTCTCTCTCTCTCTTCCTTCTATCTATCTATCTATCTATCTATCTATCTATATCTATCTATCTATCTATATATATATATATATATATATATATATATATATATATATATATATATATATATATATATATATATATTCAAATCTATCTATCTCAGTCTTTCGTATCTATTTTTGTTGTCTGCCTATATCTAGCTCCCTCTCTCTCTTTCTCCCTGTCTCTCCCTGTCTCTCTGTCTCTCTCTCTGTGTATATATATATATATATATATATATATCTTAAAATAATATTATGTAAATTTTAAATCATTTTTTATGCTTGAAAATGTGATCTGAAGATATATATATATTCAAATCTATCTATCTTAATCTTTTCATATCTATACATGTTGAGTCTGACTATATCTATCTATCTATCTATCTATCTGTCTATCTCTCTCTCTCTCTCTCTCTCTCTCTCTCTCTCTCTCTCTCTCTCTCTCTCTCTCTGTATATATATATATATATATATATGTAAATAATATGTAAGTTTTAAACCATTTTGCTGGAGAAATAAAATATAATCAATGCAAGTTTCTGTGTTTTTTAAATTATGTATATATATATATATATATATATATATATATATATATATATATATATATATATATATATATTTATGTAGGCAGCTTACCCTGAAGATCCATTTAGGTGAAGTTAGGTAGGTAGTTTCTGGGGCTACTTGATTTGTGTAATGAGCACTACGTTCTTTTTTTTTTCTTATTTTGCTCGCTTGTTTTTTTTTTCTTTGGACTAGAAATTACGGCACTGAATTTTTTTCGGCCTACACGATGCTTTTAGCCTTTTCTTTTTTTTCAAAATTTTTCCACAGATACCTGTTTGTTTTAATATATTTTTATTTTGAAAATTGCACTGCCCTTTTTACACCAATCGAGAGTTGACATTAACATAATATATATGTGTGTGTGTGTGTGTGTTTGTGTGTGTGTGTCTGTGAGTATATATATATATATATATATATATATATATATATATATATATATATATAATCATATATCTACATATATATATGTCGATATATATATATATATATATATAATTCATATTAACTTATATCTAAGTCTGTTCCCATATACATCATTCTTTTTATTCATATATATATATATATATATATATATATATATATATATATATATTTGTATATCAGTCTGTTCATATCAATATTTGTATCTTTGTTTACATTTGTCTAACGCAATCGCTTCTTATCTATCTATCTATCTATCTATCTATCTATCTATCTATCTATCTATCTATCTCAGCCTATTACTATCTACTCTAACCACTCCTCTGTATATATCCTTGTCTCTTAATATCTCTTCTACATCAACCTCTCTATGTCTACCCTATCCATCTAGCTATCTTTTTGTTGACATTTATCAAATTTTGACCTTTTCTATGAAACTGCCTGGTTACAGTTTAAGTTGTGTACAATTTCGCTTCGATGTGGTCGGACAGCGGGTCTAAGCCCGGATTTGATGTTTATTTTGCAAGGCGGTTGGCCGATCCTCAGAGGAAAGTTTGGTACATTAATATTCTCCTCCCAGTCATGTGTAAATTCATGTGTCTAAACTACTTGACGTGAATTTTCATCTGTCTCTAAGTACAAGGCGAGGAGCTGAAAATTTCTTGTCTCCTCCGAAACTGTTCTTCCCCAAATATTCTAATGTTTAGTCAAATTTTGGGAAATGGGTTTTCAGAAACTTATCCTTTCTTTCCTTCTTTTATTCTTTCCTTCCTTCCTTCCTTCTTTCTTTCGTTCTTTATTTCTTTCTTTGTTTATTTTCTATATTTCTTTATTTAATTGAATTTTGGGAAGTGAATTGAGCCGATAGGTTTTCAGAAACTTCTTTCTTTCTTTCTTTATGTCATTCTCTCTTGCTTTCTTTCTTATGTCTTTCCTTCTTTCTCTTCATTTTCTTCTTTCTTTCTTTCCTTCTTTCTTACTTTCTTTCTTTTATTCCCTCGATCATTTATTGTTTAATTCGTTTCTATTGTCTGTATTTTTATCACACGTTTTCCTTCCTTCCTTTTATTTCTTCATTTCTTCCTGCTTTCCTTCCTTGATGTTTTTATTCTTCCGCAATGTTCAGATGATGGCCTGAATTTTGTGTTCAAGCATAAAACAGACTGTCACCGGTCGATGTCGAACTCAGTGTCCACTTTTCTATTTACAAACGATCTATACCTGATATAATTTACCCACAAATATAGCATACTTTAAAACTATATTTCTATCGTAAATATAATAATAATAATAATAATAATAATAATAATAATGGACTCTCCCGTCGGTTTAGACGTATGAGGATCTGCCAGCTTATTGATTCAGTTATGGAAGTTTATGCGCTAATCTTAAGTGGCATTTAAGACCCGCTAGTGATTTACAAAGGAGGCCACATATTGAGAAGGTGTGAGAATTGTGAGATGAGATCACTGTTAGATTGGCTGACCTTTTAGATCTTGCTCTCGCTTCTTGAAGATGATTCAGACAAGCAGACTGAAAATTGCTGAGTCCACTAAAACACGCTGATCTCCATTCTACCCGCTCCAAAGCTAAGCGCTCAAAGGTGTTCTGTGGTATATTAACAAATATATATATATATATATATATATATATATATATATATATATATAAGTATTATTCATATTTTATTTATTCATATTTTTCATTTCCTTATCCTTTTCCTTCCTTCCTTCCTTCCTTCCTTCCTTCCTTCCTCCCCTCACTCCCTCCTTACTTTCTTCATTTTTTCTTTCTTTCTCTTGTTCTTTTACTGATTAATTCTTTAATCTCTGTATTATTTTATATCTTATTGCTTCCTTCTTTACCGCCTTCTTCTATTCTTTCCTTCCTTCCTTCGCTCCTTCCTTCCTTCCTTTCTTCCCGCCTCATTCCTTGGTTCCTTCCGTCCCTTTCTTCTTTCTTTCTCTCTTTATTTCCTTTTTCTTTCTTTCTTTGTTTCTTTACTCATTTCTTCTTTTCTTTCCTTTTTTCTTCCTTCCTTCCTTTCTTACTTCCCTCCCTCCTTCCTCTCCTCATTCCTTGCTTCATTCTTTCCATTCCTTCTTTCTTTCTCTCTTTATTTTCTTCTTTCTTTTTTCTTCTTTCTTTCTTTATCATTTCTTTCAGTCTTTCATTCTCTCTGTATTTCCTTCTCTCTTTCCTTATTTCTTCCTAACCTTCACCCCTTCCTTCCTTTCTTCCAGTTTTCCTTTCTTACTTCCTTCCATCTGTCCTTCCCTCTTTACTTCCTTCCTTTCTTCATCCCCTCCTTCCTTCTTTCCTCCATTCCTTCCTTTCGATGTTACTTTCTTCTTTTCTTTCTTTTTCAATCGTTTTCCCTCAAACTTATACCCAATCTATTGTTTGTCTTTATTTAATAATTTATCGCTTCATTTGTTACAAAAATTATACACGCCATTTTGTTATTTACTTTATAGATTCATTATTTACTATTACTTGGCTTTAATGGATGTTCCGCTAGCGTAAAAGATATCAGCGCGCAATATGAAATCGTCGAACCGCGTTCATATTCTCTTTCACTTTCATATATATTCTATTATTTAATGCTATGTCCCTTAAGGGCGTATATAATTATGACTCTCCACACTTTCTATTTATATTACTTTACAATTACCATTCCTACTTTTAAAAGTGAGTACTTTCGTTTTTATACTATTTTTACTCAATACAAATCCCACGAATCAGTCATGACAGAGGATTACTGAATTAGCTTGTATCAAGTGCAGCTGCGGAAAGAAATATAAAGGGGAGACAGACCGCCCCCTTAAGGCAAGGCTTTAAGAACACCAGAAAGCTGTAACACGGGAGTAAGTGGAAAAAACAGATCATCGCCCTCTGTGGGATCAGGTTGAGACAAAGAACACCATTGGGAAATTCGTAAACTTAAGGAATCAGCACATATGCTAGGCCACAAAAATCTCCTGAGCCGACCAAGCATAGAAATGAATACAATATGGGAACCAGTAATTACGAGTGCCAGACAAAAGCGATAATAAGAACAAAAATTGCAATATGAGCTCTGGTAAAAACATGATGATAACAGCAAAAATTGCAATATGAGCACTGGTAAAAATGGTTGCTGAAGACATTATGTTTATAATACCCAGAAATTCATACACAGATATCTTCAAGGACACATGGCACAGTGGCACAGTGAATAACGGCGTTATTTAGATCCAGTGACAGGACCCAAAGTGTGTGAGTTCAATCCTCGGTTAAGAGAACTTTCAGAGGGAAATTAACAGGCGAAAACTGATAAGTGACATCCATTAAACATGGCACTAGAACAGTCTACCCCAGTGAGCAAAATAAAGGGTTCGGTTCGACATTCTAACCACCTGAAGAATACCGGGGCGTACAACGGCCGAAACGTTGTAGACAATATGGCGACAAAGATGATAGATTGAATAATGTAAATAATGTAGGTTTATTATGCGCGTAAGATGAGGAAGTAAGAAATGCATATTATAAAGATATGTGGGATATATAATGTTGTGGATTCCGAGATGAAATTCGGTCTCCAATGAATGACAAACGCAAGAATTAAAGATAAGAAATTAAATGTATTTACACAATAATACAAAGGGTAATTCTGTTAGTAAATCTAGGAACGCGGTTAGTCGCAATAATATATATATATATATATATATATATATATATACAGTCTCGAAGTAGGACTTCCTAAGAGTCTACGTCCTTGTAACTGACCTCTACAAGCGGTTTCCTCACACTATTACTCTACCTCCAACTCAATCACAATCTCTGCTCTCACTCTCCCATTCTCTATCAATCTCTCTGACTCTGGGTTTTTAACGGCAGCAGTCCAAGTAACACTCTGGTCGAGTCCACTTATATGAAAAAGGGGTGTACCCCATAACATATAAGAATTGGCTTAAAGCTCGTAGGGAACTGAAAGGCATCCTCTCATGTAAAATAATAGTTACTGAGAAGAAGATGCCTGAATCTTACCAATAGAATGTCAAAGCAATGAAAATGATTCCTCACTGTGGCATGACTGATCGTAGCTGATGATGAGTTAGAAGCCATTTTTGAAGTGCAAGATAAACAACACGATCGGAATAAATAAAGTTTTCAATGAAAAGAAAAACGGTCAAAAAGATGAAACAACAATCATGCAAGCAAACAATATATTTAAAGCAAATCAAAATTGATAAGAAAACAAGAGAATTCACAACTAGGAGTTAGTGTTTGTACATGAAAGCAAGGTCAACGAAGCGAACACAATATGTCGGTTTAGTAGTTAAGGCAGATCTGGACGGAAGTCATGTCAAAACGCAAACCGCCTCATTTCGTTGATGGATAAGCGTACCTTACTCTTTTTGAGTAAGTTCACGTTTACTTATCATCTCTCAGTTGCGTCTCTGTCCTTGGACAGAATGCTCTCAGGGGCTTTTCTGTCAAAGGATAGAGGGGCAACTGAGGAAAATAATACTGAAGAAGTGCCCAGCCCTGGGGAACAGCTGCCCAAGGCTGCACCCTCCCATAGCACCAGAGTCCGTGTGTTGTTTGATACATTGAAATGTAATTGTCATCTTTGATAATGGCTTATGTAAGCCGAAAGCTTAAAATGGATTTAAACATGTATCAATATGGGGATTTCCTTTTGTCTTCCAATGATAATGTTATTAAGCTTATCAGACAATATGAAAGGAACTTACTAAAAATAAATAGACAGAATTTGTCTATATTATTTAATGAAACATCCATCCATTAATGATATATATATATATATATATATATATATATATATATATATATATATATATATATATATATATATATTCACAACTATCTGACTCAGTCTTATATATGTTCAATCTTCCCATTTCTATCGATATATCTATCTCTCCATACAGAGTACAATAGATCGTCGCCATTTTATATTAATGATTTAGCGCATGCGCATTGTTTGTTTTTGATTATTTAGACTGTACTGTATAATAGGGTCGGTTGGACACCGTCTGTGAGAAAAAAAGTCTACAATGACGCAATTCACTCCGCCAGACATTTGGAAACGACATGCTGTCCTACTTGGCATTCGCACCGGAAATTCCAATACAAACATTTTAGAGTGTTTGGGTGTCAGTATGGGGACTGTGAAGAGGATTCGGAAAAGTTGGATGAGTCTAATGGTGATTACGAAGGTGTTTGGAGTGATCACTAGTGATGGCGACGTTATACCTCTATTCATTCATCTTTCAACAGGGCCTCAGCCTCAACATAGGGGCCTACATCAAGTGCCTTGAGGAGGTAGTGCTGTCCTGAGTCAAGAGGTTGGCTGCTGGAAGACCCTGTATCTAGCAACAGGACTCTGCACCATACCACAGAAGCAAGAGAACGCAGTCATGGCTGTCAGACAATATCTGCGACAACATCACCTTTCACATCTTGCCACCTAACTCCACAGAATGCAACGCCTTGATTATTAACTGTTGGGTGCAGTTGAGCGGGAGATCAACAAAATTCCTAACAGCACCAAAGATGAACTGAAGTCAAGAATTATGTCAGCATTCAGAAACATAATCAAGGAGACCGTCTAGTAGAGTTGCAAAAGATTCCGATGTCGTCGTCTGGAAATCGTAGTTGAAAGCAATGGCGATTTTATTATATAAATTTACTCTTTAGTATTTCAATATATTTTTGCGTATTATATATATATATATATATATATATATATATATATATATATATATATATATAAGGCAGGATGTGAGTGTGTGTGTGTGTAACGAAAGCGCGGCCGCAATTTTCGACGGATTTGCACCAAAATTTACATGCACATGCTCTAAGTTAGTGAGAAGGCCAAGACCGACTTTGCATTTCCCAACTCCCATCGACAGTGGAAATAATCGATTTTTTCATGCTTCTACGACAGTTTTTTATGTAGTTTGCGGCCATTTTGTACTAGCCAGAGTGAGAGCCTATAGCTGGCTGCCACGAATAGGCAAGAAGATTCTATTGGCCAGCGTGAGAGTCAACAGCTGACTGACACGAATGTTAACTAGCATGCTAGCATGCAAAAAAAAAATCGATAGCTGCATTCGTCACAAGTATGAAAAATTTAAATCTGCATGGCACTTTACTCCAATTGGCTCATTCGCTTGCTTAAACTCAACGCTGATTCTGATTCCGCAGAACTGGGTTTGGTGTGAAAAAGTATTTGTTGTTAACATTCTTTTTTCATTCTTTTTTTTCCAGTTACGAGTCCTTTTTTTAAAGCTGATCGTTTTGTGTTAATTTTGTTTAATCCTTTTTTCGTAACAGATTTAATGTTTAGTATAGAGCTTAGAAAAAATTCGCAGTGTGAGATAGGCAAGAAGTAGGGCATGTAGCAACATCAGCACAGAAAAGGGCACTCCTTTAAAGGCAAGGAAGGGCAAAAATATTTTAAGTCAAGTGATAGCGATTGCTGTATGAGTCGGGCGATGCTGTATATATATATATATATATATATATATATATATATATATATATATATATATATATATATATGATTATACCTAATTTATAGCTTAGTTTTATTTTGTAACAAGTTTTTATTTTCAAGAGAAAACTATTCTTGGTTTCTCAACATTTTGCATTAGGAAAAAAACAATGTTATCTATCCAAACACGTGTATCCACTTAATATGACATATAATTCAAAACTGAAATACCACTCCGCATGAATAATCCTCAGAGTTTACCTGTAGAAAAGACAGCATTTATAAATATAAATGACAATAGGAAAACTGTAGTTATTGCTGACGCGTTTCGTCCAGTGTGTGTATATATATATATATATATATATATATATGTGTGTGTGTGTGTGTGTGTGTGTGTGTGTGTGTGTGTGTGTGTGGTTCAATTTAGGGAAGTCAGTCTATAAGCCGAAGAAAAAGATTAATATTTTGACAATTCATTTTATATTATTATGTCAACAGACAAAATGTTTTTCTCATCGTGTTTCTGTTTTGTCTACAGGCCAGATAATATTTAATAATCTATGTATTAATATTATTTCTTTGTTTCGAATTTTTTACACTCTGTAACAAAAATAAAGTCTAATTTGGTGATCTATGATAAATTTAGAAAAGCCTTATTAGTTAACGTGCATTTGATTTTTATACAAAAAATTAATGCTATTGTTTTTATCTGTATGTTTAGTGTTGCTATTGGTTACTTTTTCTTTCTAAAATAACCAATAGCAACGCTGAACATACACACAAAAACAAGGATTAACATTTACCATAAAAATCAAATTTTGTAAGAATCATACGTGTACTATCTATCTATCTATCTCGATCCTTTCATTATCTATCTATCTATCTATCTATCTATCTATCTATCTATCTATGTAACTATGTAACTGTGTAACTATGTATCTAAATCTATAAATATATATTGTATAAAATTTGATATATTCTAGGGGGAAGAGTGCCCAGGACATGTTTTTTAGATATAGAAAAATTTGAACATGTATGAAGTTTAAAATCACCATGCATTGTCAATCACTATTCCCACTCTGTATATATCTATGGATACTTTATCTCATATTCATATATATATATATATATATATATATATATATATGGGGGGTGCATGAGAAAGAGAGAGCGGTAATATGTGACCCTCCATTGCAGCATTTAAATAAAGGTTGTTTTGCCCGTCAGGACCTCAACAAAGATTTTAGATTTAGAGGCTAATCCAATACTGTTTTAATACCTTGTTAGATGAAGATAAAGAAGACAATGATACATATTATCCTATATCATATAATTCCTTTTGTATACTTGATTTTATTCTGTTTTCAATATTTTTGTTTTCTTTCTACATCCGTTTTTTTTTTTTTGTTTTGTTTTTTTTTCCTTGCCTCAAATATCATATATATACATTAACAAACCGTTAAGCGAACACATGCATTCCACACAAATTTCTTTGGCCTTTCTCTCCGGTGGAATGTATGAATATGTATTAATGCTTACATGGCAATTATTCTGACTTATGAATGGCAACTGCATGGCGCATGCGCTGTTTTGAGACTGTGAATGCTTCGCCAGCCATCTTAACTGGAAACCTTCCGACATGGACTTTTGTTTACTTGTTTTGCCTTTCAGAGGCAGAGATTTCGAGGCGCGTATAAATTTATGAAAAAAAATGTCTAGATATATATATAAAAAAAAACAATAACATACATTAATACGTAGTTTTCCCGGCAATATGTTCTGTCTTTCTCATTGCTTGGTTCAGTGCCAATTTGTGTGATTCATTGTTTGCGACAGAACAAAGAGTCTGTGAGGAATGAACGAAGAAATGAATAAAAGCTGGTATTATTATTTACTTATAGATTTATAGATAGTAATAGCTACAATATGTATTTATGTATAGATTGGCATAAATGTAAAAATATATTTTACTAGATTAAGTTTATTTTATGTCAGAATATTTGTACCATGCTATTATTATCAAACTTATTCAGACTAGCATCTATTTTACACATTTATAATATTAATTAAATATAATATTATTCTAAATGCATTGAATATTTCTGCCACATTTCGTATGATGCTTCTATATATCTGGATATTCTCTGACAAAATTCAAAGACAAATCTACAAAGTTATTGGTCTTGATCTAACATCTAACCTTCATTCGCGATTCCAACGAAGTAACGTATCTTCCCTGTGTGATTTCTAAGAATATTTTCATGGTAATTGCTCTGATGAGCTTTTCGCTTTGCTACCTCGACTTTAGAAAAATTTAATCGGAATACTAGACTGGCGGTTAGGTCCCATAATGTTGCAGTTGAAATTACCTGACCCCGTCTTCAGATGCGGTAGCTTCAAACTAATATTAAGCTCAAGTTCCCAGGAGAGCATCATCACAGAAAGTACTCCAGCACAAATATGCCAGCAGTACTCCCTGCGCGTTGTGATGGAGTGCATATCGGCTCAGAATGAGAAATCGAAGAACAGAGTTCGAATTCCAGTCGAGTTCATTATATTCACTTACGGACACATATGGTCTGAATCAGTCTACCACAGAAAGAAATGACAACCTACTTCAGGAAACTACTTCTACCTAGTCAATAAGACATATAGTATATATCACGTATAGCCCTTAACTTACCGCCTCCATTTTCGACCCAATCCGGCCCTTGTAGAAGTTGCAAGTGTCTGCATCAGTTACCTATATACGGGTTCCACTTGAGGTTTGGCGTGAGCTTATGTCGCAATAGGCGTCCAAGTTCAGAGGCTTTATTGAGAGTATACACGTTCGTTATAATAGACGAACATTTAGGGTTGTCCTCGGTATGACGATAAACTACATCAAGCAGCAAGACATCTGACCAGGTTTTGCTGGCATTTCCCCACGTCCACCCTTACCCGGAGTAGTAGCACCTGTTAGAGTCCCAGGTGTGGACAAAGAGTTAACTCCCAAACTGGGGTTACAACACTATGAAAGTGTAAAAATAGGTTTTAATAAAAGCAATACATTTTTGGAAAAATTATTACCGAAATTACATCATTACTAGCAATACATGTTTTTTTTTAAATAACCAGCAATACATTTTTGAAAACAACAAAATAACAGCAATAGATCTTTGAAAAAAAATTATTACAAGGAATACATTATTATCAACAATATATTTTTGAAAAAAAAATACCAGCAATACATTTTTGAAAAAAAATATTAGCAGTAATATATTACTGAAAAAATACATTATTACAAGCAATAAATTATTACCAGCAGAAAATTAAAAAAAATATTACCAGCAATATATTATTGAAATAATACATTATTACCAGCAATAAAAATGTATATTAAATAATCCATTGAGGTTTATATGCTGTAAAAGAAAGTAAACCAAACGAAACCAAAATTCAGGGTCTTTTGAACGTTCTTCTTTCTTAAAGATAGGGCAAGTTTGATCCTAGTAGTTTCCGCTTCACCGCCATCTTTTCTCATTTCATTGAAGAGTGCTTGCGTATATCGACGAGAGTGTGACAGTGGTTGTTGAGATCGGGCTATTTTTGTTTTTGGCCGTATGCGCGGCAGCCAACCGATCTTGTCACATCCAGCCACTTTGGGGCTTGCGATCAAAGTGAACTGTTCAGAGAGAAGCATAATATCTGGAGGTCCTACACTTCGACAGCACCTCCCTCGTTGCATTGTGAAGGAAGATTGATGGATATCGACACCAGTTTGACAGTGGTCGCTTAGAAGGAGTCATTTTTATTCTTGGCCTATATGTACGTCTCTCCGCATTACACCGACCTTATGGAAAATTCTTACCAATAAGGAGGCGAATGTAAATATATTTAAGCAATGTTTGAAGATACACTAAGAGACAACCGACTTTATATATTTAATTTAAGTTTTAAGATTCGAAAAGTAGATAGATAGATAGATAGATAGATAAGGGTTACAGGAATGTAGGACGCCCATGCCTAAGATACAAAAACAAGCTGAAAAGCAACTTGTCAGCACTCAATATACAACAAAACACCCTTGAGCGCTTAGCCTTTGAGCGGGTAGAATGAAGATCAACGTGTTTTAGTGGACTCAGCAATTTTCAATCTGCTTGTCTGAATCATCTTCAAGAAGCGAGAGCAAGATCTTAAAGGTCAGCCAATCTAACAGTGATCTCATCTCACAATCCTCACACTTGCTCCATATGTGGCCTCCTTTGTAAATCACTAGCCACTTAAATGATACTTACGATTATCGCACAAAATTTCATAAATGAATCAATTAAGCTGTCAGATCCTCATACGTCGAAACTGACGGGAGAGTCCATTATTATTATTATTATTGTTAAATATAACAATGATTGTCTGTGTTTGATCATGAGCCGTTCTAAGCTTTGTATGTTTGCTTAAATTTTTTATTTTTATTTTTTAAGCTGGTCCTTGATCTAAGCTTTCGGCTCACATGAGCAATCTTCATATATATACGTTGGGGGGAGGGGGCTCTATGTGTGCCTCTGTGTGTGTGTGTGCCTGTGTGTGTTAGTGTGTGTTTGTACCTGTGTGTGTGGGTAAGTGTGTGTGTATGTGCGCGCGCCTGTTTGTGTGTGTGCGCGAGTGCGAGTGTGTGTTCGCTCGCACATGGCAGCAATTAATTTTGAAACATAAACTGACTTCAAAAACATTATTTTCTTTTATTACATTTTTTCACCATAATTTTTAGATGTAAAATTAAAACTCGTTTTGCGTATGGATGGACATACCAATAAGCACCTCCTTAGCTGTGATCATACGATATTAACAGCAATAGTAGTATTAGTAGTATTAGTAAAGATAGTACGTAAAATTATGTAAACTTAATTTACTTACTAGTATTTTAGGAATTTATTTTTCATTTATTAATCCTGTATATTATTAATAAAAATTAAAAATAAAACTTACTATGTAAAAGTAAGTAAACTTAATTTAATCAGTTTCAATGTCAATGTCAAAACTCCCTGCGTCGAACTAACGAGTTGTGATGACGTATTCTCTTTGAAAATCAACGTTACAACTTTGTTCATTTGAGGCTCAAATACTGACCAGTAGTACAAGCTGAAAAAAAAAAAAATGAAACTTCTAGCAAGGAAATCAACTAATAAATTATCGAATGAGCTTGTTTGGAAGAACAGGGATTAGGAGAGATCGCAAAAAGCCAAGACTTTAGAACTACAAGGGGTGGATGTTAGAGTAAGCAATTATTGTATACGTCTTAAAGTCACAGAAAAGGAAAAAAAAGTCTGTAAAGTTAACAGGAAGTTTATATCATTATTTCTGCATCTAGCGAGCGCCCCATTTTTTTGTTTGAAGGTTACAAGTGATGTGGTTTTTGTTATTTGTTAAATCTGTGTTAGTGCTTTCGTAGCAAAAGGATGAGCCAAAAATGTCAATTGCAAACGGCGATGCTAAAATCAATCAAAGTACAGAAATTTAAATATCTGGGAAGTATTTTGTATAGATAATGGAAATTCGACACTGAGATCCGAAGAAGCACTGAGATGGCCAAAGATGCCTTCCAAAAACTAAGCAAAGTATTAAGAGACAGGAAAAAATCGTCAGAAACAAAGAAAAAAGCACTGAACAGTTACGTGATATCTGTCCTCCCGTATGACAGCAAATGTTGGACAATCTTCTCAGAGATAAAGAAGATACTCGAAGCAACAGAAATGTGGTTCTACAGAAGGATGCTGAGGATACAATGGACCGAACATGAGAGCAAGAACGAGATTTTGGAGGAAATGGAAGCAAATTCTAGTTGACATCAAGAAGAGGTAGTTGAAATTTCTGGGGCACGTAATGAGGAAGGACGACTTGGAAAATCTGATACTCACAGGACAGATTGAGGAACAGAGGAAAGCAGCGTTAACA